CATCGATATTTCGTCCATTTTACATTTATTCTTTATCGTATCGTTCGTGCTACTGTTTCATGCAAGGGTCATCTCAATTCAGCGACGTTTCATAATAGGCGCTGCTACCTTGCATTCGCGAAAATTTCGTCTTTTATTCATTCATGGCGGTCTCTCTCCCGCGGGAACAAAGATTCTAGCTTTTACAGCCGACTTTCAGGCTACGCATAAACTTTATGAGAATATAACTTAAGTCGTTCTGCCGCGGTACCTCCTATTAAGACACCTATTCTATTCGACGGACCCGTAAAACCCGAACGGAAAAACGTGAAAACCCTTTTCACGTGCTGTCCGCGTCGCGTCATATTTAGTGGCCTGAAATCTGGTTGGCGGAATCTCGAAAGCGGCGGAGAAACCATTTCTCATAGAAATTGTACGGTTATGTAGAATATTTTGATAAGGTGTTAATTATGTGCAGATAATATATATATAATATTCTTCAATATTCTGCAATATTCTGCTATATTCTGCAATATTCTGCAATATTCTTCAATATTCCCTCAATATTCTCTTCAATACTTTACAATATTCTTCAATATTCTTCTATATTCTTCAATACTCTTCAATATTCTTCACTATTCTTCAATATACTGCACTATTCTTCAATATTCCGCAATATTCTGCTATATTCTGCAATATTTTACAATATTCTTCAATATTCCCTCAATATTCTCTTCAATACTTTTCAATATTCTTCAATATTCTTCAATACTTTTCAATATTCTGCAATATTCTACAATATTCTTCAATATTCTTCAATATTCTGCAATATTCTGCACTATTCTGCAATATTCTGTCATATTCTGCAATATTCTACAATATTCTTCTATATTCCCTCAATATTTTCTTCAATACTTTTCAATATTCTTCAATACTCTTCAATATACTGCACTATTCTTCAATATTCTGCAATATTCTTCAATATTCCCTCAATATTCTCTTCAATACTTTTCAATATTCTTCAATATTCTTCAATACTTTTCAATATTCTGCAATATTCTACAATATTCTTCAATATTCTTCAATATTCTGCAATATTCTGCACTATTCTGCAATATTCTGTCATATTCTGCAATATTCTACAATATTCTTCTATATTCCCTCAATATTTTCTTCAATACTTTTCAATATTCTTCAATACTCTTCAATATACTGCACTATTCTTCAATATTCTGCAATATTCTTCAATATTCCCTCAATATTCTCTTCAATACTTTTCAATATTCTTCAATATTCTTCTATATTCTTCAATACTCTTCAATATTCTTCACTATTCTTCAATATACTGCACTATTCTTCAATATTCCGCAATATTCTGCTATATTCTGCAATATTTTACAATATTCTTCAATATTCCCTCAATATTCTCTTCAATACTTTTCAATATTCTTCAATATTCTTCAATACTTTTCAATATTCTGCAATATTCTACAATATTCTTCAATATTCTTCAATATTCTGCAATATTCTGCACTATTCTGCAATATTCTGTCATATTCTGCAATATTCTACAATATTCTTCTATATTCCCTCAATATTTTCTTCAATACTTTTCAATATTCTTCAATACTCTTCAATATACTGCACTATTCTTCAATATTCTGCAATATTCTTCAATATTCCCTCAATATTCTCTTCAATACTTTTCAATATTCTTCAATATTCTTCAATACTTTTCAATATTCTGCAATATTCTACAATATTCTTCAATATTCTTCAATATTCTGCAATATTCTGCACTATTCTGCAATATTCTGTCATATTCTGCAATATTCTACAATATTCTTCTATATTCCCTCAATATTTTCTTCAATACTTTTCAATATTCTTCAATACTCTTCAATATACTGCACTATTCTTCAATATTCTGCAATATTCTTCAATATTCCCTCAATATTCTCTTCAATACTTTTCAATATTCTTCAATATTCTTCAATACTTTTCAATATTCTGCAATATTCTACAATATTCTTCAATATTCTTCAATATTCTGCAATATTCTGCACTATTCTGCAATATTCTGTCATATTCTGCAATATTCTACAATATTCTTCTATATTCCCTCAATATTTTCTTCAATACTTTTCAATATTCTTCAATACTCTTCAATATACTGCACTATTCTTCAATATTCTGCAATATTCTTCAATATTCCCTCAATATTCTCTTCAATACTTTTCAATATTCTTCAATATTCTTCTATATTCTTCAATACCCTTCAATATTCTGCACTATTCTTCAATATACTGCACTATTCTTCAATATTCTGCAATATTCTACTATATTCTTCAATATTCTTCAATATTCTTCAATATTCTGCAATATTCTTCAATATTCTCTTCAATATTCTTCAATATCCCCCAATGTTCTCGTTTCTACGAATTCCTCCGTAAAAATCTGAAGATGCAAAGGAATTCATACATCAGCAGGAAAATCGTTCTATCAACCGAAGAATAATAACGCGTTTAGCTTTCGCGACTATCTACATTAAAAGGTTCGAAAGCTTGCATTTCCCAAGATACATGGAAATCGGCAGTCTACGGAGGATTCTCCGGGGCGTAGATTAGAAAAGGCGGAGATTCTCTTGACGGAGATTCTCTTGGCGAGTCAGATTTCCTTTCGACTTACCAAATCTGATTTATCGCGCTCCCCTTTCGTCGGCGGGTAATTCGAGTATTCCGTGAAAGAGGATAGGCGAGTTCGAGATTCTAAGGTCCGCCGGAAGCTGTACAAACTATTCGAACGTTCCCGTCGATGGTAGAAGGGCGGGAACTTCACTTTCGATGGCGGCCGCAGACGCGTTTGTTCCAGAAACAAAGATACCATTTCAAGAATTAATTGCGTCTGGTCGCGCCTCGGAGAGCTTAGAAGTTTCGCCCTTTGAATTCCGAGACGATTGTGCGCCGGCGAGTTCGAAGTCGTATCAATTTTCAAACTGTTTACCCTCGAACTCCCGTGAAAACCAAGACCGGAGAACATTCGGGGCCCCGGAACGTTAAAGAACACCGTGCCGGGAACGACCCGCGGGAACTGCAGTAACATTTTTCATTCGTCGCTCTATTAGACTTTAATGTAACCATTAAAACTATTCGACCCGCTATTTTCACCTCCGAACCCGACCCTCCGCGATCACCTTCCACCTCATCCGACTATTTAGCCGCGTTTCTGCCCGGCGCATTCATCGCCGGTTCATTTTATACGACCGAATCGCGTCATTCGATCCTATCGAGCCGACGTGTTCCGTCTGACCAGAGACATGCCCATTCTACTTGACCGGTTCAATTTCTTTGAGAACGACTGGCACATTTCGTTTGTTAGATTGAAACGATATTTCTATAATAATCTGCAATTTTACTAGTTTATAATTTTATAATTCTGTAATTTTGATATTTTATAACTCTCTTGAATATTCCATCATTTTAATATTCCATAATTTTAATATTCTACAAAGTTCCCTGATATCATTGATATATTTCACTGAATTGTCTGACCAGAGAAATACTCATTCTACTCGACTGCTTGCTGATTTATTTGTTTTCTCTGAGAATTGATGAGATATTCCCTTGCTAGATTCACGAATAATAATATGAAGTTGCTAATATACCATCATTTTAATATTCTACAAAGTTTCCTGATAAATCGCTGGCATATTTTACCGAATTGTCTGACTACAGAAATACTCGTTCTACTAGCAAGGTTGCTGGCTTATTTAATTCCCCTGGGAACCGGCGATATATTTCACTTGTTGCATTAATGAATAATACATAAAGTTTCTGTTAATGTTCTACTATTGTAATATTCCACAATTTTAATATTCTACAATTTCAATATATTCCATAATTTTATAGTATCCTACAAAGTTTCCTGATAAATCATTGACACATTCTACTGAATTATTCGATACGTTTGATATGTTTTCCTCTTCATCGTATAATTACCGAAGAATTAAACAAATTAAACACAAATCGTTGAACAATGTTCAACAAAATTTAAAGCACGACTTTATAAACCGTCGTTCGAAATAAAATATATCTCTCGATTGTAGTAAAAGATATTCTACAATTTCAATATTCCATAATTTTAGTATTCTACAAAGTTTCCAGATGAATCATTGACACATTCCACTGAATTGTTCGATACGTTTGATATGTTTTCCTCTTTATCGTATAATTACCGAACAATTAAACAAATTAAACACAAATCGTTGAACAATGTTCAACAAAATTTAAAGCACGACTTTATAAACCGTCGTTCGAAATAAAATATATCTCTCGATTGTAGTAAAAGATATTCTACAATTTCAATATTCCATAATTTTAGTATTCTACAAAGTTTCCAGATGAATCATTGACACATTCCACTGAATTGTTCGATACGTTTGATATGTTTTCCTCTTTATCGTATAATTACCGAACAATTAAACAAATTAAACACAAATCGTTGAACAATGTTCAACAAAATTTAAAGCACGACGATAAAGATATCTCTCTCTCTCTCTCTCTCTCTCTCTCTCTCTCTCTCTCTCTCTCTCTCGATTGTTATAAAAGTGTCGTAAAAATGTGCAAACAAATCAATGGAAATTAAATAAAATTAAATCGCTATTCTTGCGAAGGAAGAACCGGTGCAAATTAATCGGATCCCGATCAAATTCGGAACGCGATGATACAATGTAACCGTACGAGAAATATCGGGCCGACGAACTGGATTCAAGGATCAAGGGTTCCAGTGATTTATCGACGTGCTTCCGCGGAAAGCACCGTTTCCATAATTCACGGCCGCAATTCACTAGCCGGGCTCTAAGAAAACGTCGGGATCGAGGGATCGGGATCGAGGCGAACGACCGAATCAATCGGTATTTTCTAATCGGGCCGATAGCTCGGGGGATCGTGCTCTCCCCGCGGTCCCCCGCGGTCTCCCCGCAGTTAGGCGAGGCGCAAACAGACGTACGATGCGATACTTACCGGTGATCCACGTGCCGTTGAAGCTCTTCGAGGATAACAAGCCGGCCAGCCATTCTTCAAGCGCGATGCCAGGTGCCGCTGGCGTTTTCGGGCCGGCGGGATCCGAGCTCCCGGTCAGAAGAACCGACGCGGTCACGACCAAGCCGAGCACAACTGCGACGATCAAGCCACCGGCCAGCAAACGCCGCCAGTTCCTTTGCTTGTTCTTCGTCATCAGGTCCTGCAACAAATACGCGCGGGCAACCGTTAGTTATCTGTCCGACTTGGTGCACTGGGTGCGCTTGGTGCGCGGGGTGCGCTTGGTGCACTGGGTGCGCTTGGTGCGCGGGGTGTGCTTGGTGCACTGGGTGCGCTTGGTGCGCGGGGTGCGCTTGGTGCACTGGGTGCGCTTGGTGCGCGGGGTGTGCTTGGTGCACTGGGTGCGCTTGGTGCGCGGGGTGCGCTTGGTGCACTGGGTGCGCTTGGTGCGCGGGGTGTGCTTGGTGCACTGGGTGCGCTTGGTGCGCGGGGTGCGCTTGGTGCACTGAGTGCGCTAGGCACGCCGGATATTGTTTCTCGCCGGAAGAGTCCGGATTTCCGGAAAGTTTTTTCCGGAAAGAAATTACTTTTCTAATTTCGCGCTTTCGAGGTCGCTAATCGCGCCGCGGACTTTTTTACGCTTTCGTCGCGAATTTCGGCAAAAAATGACCGATCCCCGGACTTCCGTGCAGCCGCCAGTTCGCAACAATGAGCCCAGCCGAATTGCTGAAGTCAGAGTTGCTATAGTCAGTTGCTGAAGTCGGTTGTTGAAGGCCGGTGCTGAAGACAGATTCTCCGGGAACACGGTTTATGACAACGTCGTTGTTGGTTTCGCTGTCATTGAACTCGAGGAGGAGTTTACTCGCCACTTCTCTTTGCACTGTTACCACGGTTCCCTAAAGGTCGATACACATCTATGTACCAGGCTCGGATCGTGCCAGCAGTGTGCTCGATTGAGAGTGTTCGCGTTAGATGTGCGAGCACGATGCCAGGCAGGACCGATGGCCTCGAAATCGAAGGGCCTTAGGACCGAGATTCGGAGAGCAATTTTATCTTTTTCGGATTTGCCAATGCAACCGTGAGCTTTCTCTGATTAAAACAAGAGCAAACAGGATATAATTTTTGTAAGATTATAGTGATTTTTATGGAAAATATGAATATACTTTTCATATCAATATTAACTTAAATATTTTAGAAAAGCAATAAAATGAACATTCTACGTACAATTTTTATTTTTGTAGTTTAAACACCATCCGTATCGAAATGTTCGTCTGATTTATAAATTTGTTACAAAATAACATGCGCCGTTTAATTATATAAAATAGAAGTTCAATATATATATATATATATATTAACAAAATAATATATTATACTCGTGTATGTGTAATGTAAAATATTTCGTCGAGCTGAAAAATAACCGAGCGAGAAAAATACAAGAATAATAATCGATGCAAAAATAATCGTGTTTTTCTGTTACTTCAATATTGCGAAACGAGCCGAACCGAAGTAAATTCTCTGATTATCGCGTCGAAATCAGCCTCGGTTATTGAATTACACGGAATTCTACCCGGAACACGAACCTAACCGGGAAATCGATATTAATCAACCAGAAAAGTTGTAATTCGAGAAACATCAATATCCGAGTACGGCCTAACAGTAATTAAATCCCGTTTACAAAAATATGAGATTATCCTGCCGGAACGGGAGACCCGCTATCGATCACAGTGCTCTCTCTCTCTCTCTCTCTCTCTCTCTCTCTCTCTCTCTCTCCCTTTCTCCTACGTCGGATGAAATAAAATCTAATTAAGTAATTACAGGGAGCATCGAACTTCCCTTCTATCGAGTCCTGACTAGTTCGCTTCCGGCGGCGTTATCTTCGTTAACGCGAATCTTATTAATTGGCACCGACCAGGCGACTTCGCCTCCGAGCACCGTTCCGGCCGAGCTTAATGCCTCTTGCGTTACCGATTTTTATCCTAGATATCGGTCCGTGACGGCCTGTCGCGGCCCGTAGGAGCCCGTGGAGGCCTATAGCGGCCCGTGGAGGCCCATAGCTGCCTGTGGAGGCCTATAGAGCCCGTGGCGACCCGAGGAGGCCTATAGAGGCCCATGGCGGTCCGTGGAGGCCTATAGAGGCCTATAGAGGCCCGTTGAGGCCTATATAGCTCGTGGCGACCCGAAGAGACCAATAGTGGCCTGTGGCGGCCCGTGGAGGCCCATGGAGGCTTATAGAGCCCGTGGCGATCCGAGGAGGCCTATAGAGGTCCGTGGAGGCCCATGGAGGCCTATAGAGGCCTATAGAGGCCCGTGGCAGCCCGTAGAGGCTTATAGAGCCCATGGCGATCCGAGGAGGTCTATAGAGGCCCATGGAGGCCCATGGAGGCCTATAGAGGCCCGTGGAGACCTATAGAGGCCCGTGGCAGCCCGTAGAGGCCTATAGAGGCCTGTGGAGGCCTATAGAGCCCGTAGCGACCCGAGAAGGCCTATAGAGGCCTATAAATGCCTATAGAGGCCCGTGGCGGTCCGTGGCGAATAGAATTATCTAAAAATCGACTACAGTCGACTAAAAATCGACTTCGAAAGAGCATTCGACTGCGAAAAGTCAGATTCAGACAAACGAGAATTCAAAGCAATCAGGAATCGTGTAGAAAGCGCAACCGGTCCCGTTGCACAAATGACACGGCGTCGTTGTTACGGCGCAATCCGGCTCGAATCGCTTTCAATCTGTCTACACGGGAACGCAGGAGGAGCGGTAAAGTGGCGCGTGAATACGAATTAGCATAAATATTTTCGACTGGTGGTTTAAACATGGGCGCGCGGAGGAGCCTCCGATCGCGGGCCAGGAAGGTAAGCGCACACGCGAGACTGCATGAATTATTCGTGAGGCGAACGTAGAGTCGACCGCGGCCGTAAAGATGTACTCGAAAATAGGGAATCGTTGTCAGATAATCCGCAGATTTAAATGACAATGGGAGGAGAACGGTCTGGCGCGTGGTCTCCCGACGCGGCACCGGGCGTTTCGATCGTCCCGATTTCCATTTCGACTCGCCAGGTTCCCGGTCATTAAATTTCAACCGCGCCGCGTGAAAGCGGCCTTAAGCTCGCCACGCGCGATCGACTTTGAATGCGAGCCGGTTCAAAGGGGACACGCGCGACGAGCCTCGCCGCGACCATAATCGCGGTTTTAAAATTGCTTCTTCTCCGGCCGCCGGGAACAGGGGACGTGTATCGATCAACATCGTCCATCGCCGTATTCTCTCGTTCCTTCAAACATTTTTACTGGAAATTTCATTCGTCTTTTTTTATCCGAGACTGCTTGTTTTTGTTTCGTAAACCCTTTCGTCGCTCCAGCCTCCAATTAAAGGGAGAAATATCGTTATGATTTCTGGATGAAATGTATTAATTGTGAATTAAATTCACTTGTTATTTATTAGTTATTAATTGTATTTATTTATTATGTATTACTTATTATTAACCGAATTTATGAATCAAATTAAGTTCATCTATTATTCATTGATACACTTTAGATTAAAGAACATATCATATGAAGCAGATTAATTCGAAAATACACAGTGCAAATTATGCTAGCTTCGTGCAGTCAATATAATGCGGCAATTTATAATTTTCATCGAGCAGAGCTGGCTTGAATTTCTCGACGTTTTCGACGAACAGATCACTGTGATTAATAGACTGCGGATTTTGTGGATTTATAGGGAAAATGATGAAACGAAACACAGAACAGTGAAAAATGTTGGAAAAGTGAAAAATATTTTATGTAATCTGCGGCGGGCGATTTTTATTTCATTGAAAGATCCACAGTCTATTGATTCATTTCACAAATTCCCTCGTATAGTGTTATCATTTTTATAAATCGTAGTTTCATAATTTTAAATAAACTTAAATCCGTCCGTAGCGAACATTATTATTTTCGATCACCTAATTTCCAACAATTAATTCAAGTCAATTCAATTAATTCAAGATAATTCAAGTAATTCGAGTCAATTCAATTAATTCAAATCAATTCAAATAATTCAAGACAATTCAAGTAATTCGAGTCGATTCAAATAATTCGAGTCAATTCAAGTAATTCGAGTGAATTCAATTACTTCATCGAGGTCGAGAAATTCGCGTGTCCATAAAGATCGCCCTGAAAACTCCGTTCGAGGAAACAGATAAATCGAGTTATAAATAATTCGAGCCACGCTCGAGTTACATTTTCGTGAAAATAGTCCGCCGTTCGTGCACCGAGAGACACGTTCCTCCACGACGATTATGTCACACGCGAGAGAGAATCGAAGAATTTTTCTTCGAGGAACAAAGTTGCTCCCGACTGGTTCCACTGGCGGCTACACTGGAACAGCTTCGAAAATGTTTAAAGGTCGCGCAGCAGACTTCGCGATTATTTTCCCGGATCGACCGACGACGAGATTATTATTCCGTTGTACTGGAAACGCATCTCTGCGCTGGCCAAAGGGGATCGCGAATTTCGGAGAAAGGCCTTCGGCCCTGTGACCGGTCCCGTCGCCTGACCATTGCCGGGATTATACTACTGCAATTGGAGTTCGACTCCGAATCGGCCCGTAATATGCCCGACCATTGACGGGATTATGCTACTGCGATAGAAGCCACCTTACAAGCAGATATCTATTCGAAGGAGTCGGCGAATTATTACGGTTTCGCTTCGAGATTATTACGCTGATTTTTATGGATTTATGAAGAAAATTATTAGATCGAAATGGTGGAAACATTCAAAGAATTTCAAGATACGGTTCAATTATTTTATTAAGATGTTTAAAGAACGAAATTCCAAAATATATAGCAAATGAGCTGTATATTTTCTATATACTATGTGTATGTGTATACAGGGTGTCCCGAAAATGTCTCTCAATCTGGAAACGGGAGCTCATTTGAAGCAACTTTTTCCTTTGCGAAAATTTTCTCCGATGCTTCGTTTACGAGTTATTAACGAAAAACAGTGACCAATGAGTTAGCCGAGCTCGCTTCTTATTGGTCAATGTTTTTCGTTAATAACTCGTTAACGGTACCTCGGAGAACATTTTTGTAAAGGAACAAGTTGCTTCGAATGATCCGAGGAACTCGCCATTTCCGGGCTGCGAGACATTTTTGGTACACCCTGTACTTGGCCGACCGTAGTACCGCGCGGTCTGAAAGGACGCGATCACTGAAGATCGCACTCGCGCG